CCCTATATGGGATCCGAACCTGGGGCCTTGGTGTTATCAGCACCGCACTCTCCCGAGTGAGCCACGGGCCGGCCCTTTGCTTTGTTTTTCTTAAGAGGAGTGGTAAGGGGCTCTTAACTCTTGACTTGGTGTTGTCAGCACCACACTCACCTGTTGAGCTACCCAGCCATCCCTGTATGGGATCTGAACCCGTGGCCTTGGTGTTATCAGCACCGCACTCTCCTGAGTGAGCCATGGGCCAGCCCTAAGTATGAGTTTAAATTAAAGACACTTTCAGACACAAAAGCTTTCAAAAGAAATGAGCTCCTATGCACCTTTTCTTGGAACATTGCTGGAAGATGTGGTCTTCCAAAATAAGGGAGTAAATCAAAAAGAAGACAGCAGTCTAGGTGTAGGGAAAGTAAATATGAATGGTCAGAGTCCCTCAAGCGAATGGTCAGAGTCCCTCAAAGGTTTGGAGTCTTGCCAAGCATTTGATGTAAATATGCACGTGTGCCCAGGTGTTTCTTGGTTATTGTCTAATATAATTGCGTATGTGTGCCCAGGTGTCCTGGGTATCGGACTTAAGTATAAAGGATGAGCAGCTGTGATCCACAGTCCCCTCAGGATGCCCTGGGAGGCTACTAGGGCTGCTGCTGCTAGCTACCTGAGCTTGCATCTGGATAAAGCCTAGTAATTTTTTACCAACGGCTTGCAGGATCTTTTCCTATTACCTAGCTTGTGGACCTGCAGGTGAGGGGTTTGTGACCCCACCTGTACAACGGGTTTGTAGGGTCTGTGAGCCCTAGTCCTAGCAATACGCTAAGAAACTGGATCTAATGCTGGAGAGAGTAGAAAGGATGTCCTGGGAAAACAGGGGTTGTGCAATATAGACAGCAAGCAGCTGAGACAGTTCAGGAGGTCCAGGGCGGGCTGGGGTCTGGCAGGCACAATGTCTGTGACCGAGTCACAATTTTTATTTTGAAAAATTGGGGAAGAATTAGTGATAGTGATGTAGAAAACTAAGCAGAGCAACAAAGAAGCAAGTTTTAACTCCAGAAAAACAAGGTTGTTTCTAAAAGGAAATATAATCGTCTGTTGGGAAAATATGGGAAAATGGTCAGGGCCGCTCAGATGTTCAGAATCTTGCTGGGCCAGCCCGTGGCTCACTCGGGAGAGTGTGGTGCTGATAACACCAAGGCCACGGGTTCGGATCCCATATAGGGATGGCCGGTTAGCTCAGTGGGACAGCGTGGTGCTGACAACACCAAGTCAAGGGTTAAGATCCCCTTACCGGTCATCTTTA